GTGTACAGTAGAAAGAGATATAAACACATTGAAAATGATGGAAGAAAAGAGCAATATGTCAGGAAAGGAGAAAAATAGACACAGATTTGACAAGTTTCATTTAAAAAAGGATATAATAGAAAACTGTCAGTTGTTGCTGGGATCTGAAGATAGCAATATACTGTTTACATAATGCAAAATACCTTTGTCTGAATTGAAGTGGGTGATGGGGAATTCCTTGCCTTTGACAGGATGGATTTCTCTCTAGGTACTGCTAAATGGCCACCTCCAGAAAAGCCATTTCTGAAGAATATGTTTTTGCCTTTGAAATATACCAGGTAATATAAAAATCCAGTTGATTTCCCTAAGGAACATGGATTCTTTTAAAAATCCTTGAACTCCTCACAGTCTGAATTGAAGTGGGTGATGGGGAATTCCTTGCCTTTGACAGGATGGATTTCTCTCTAGGTACTGCTAAATGGCCACCTCCAGAAAAGCCATTTCTGAAGAATATGTTTTTGCCTTTGAAATATACCAGGTAATATAAAAATCCAGTTGATTTCCCTAAGGAACATGGATTCTTTTAAAAATCCTTGAACTCCTCACACCCTTCCCCCCCCCCCCCCCCCCACATTTATTTGTTCTGCAAATTACATTGAATAATGTAATTATGACAGCACATCCATGCATTATTTTTGCCTCCGTTTGGCTCCTGATGCTGTAAAACATTGAGCTCTGTTAGCCTCTGTCACCAAAACTCCAGAACTATTTCAAGCTTCCTTTCTTTACAGATGCCTGTTAAGGGAGGACTGTGGAAGTACTTCAGAAAAGGGACTAAAGCAGGGGGTCTCAAACTCCCGGCCCTGGGGCTCGCTTCAGCCCAAACACTTCCCCATTCTGGCTTGTGAAATACTTTGAAGAAGTTACTTAATCAGGCCTGGCAGGGAGGGAGTAAGTTGCACAAAGGCACTGCTCAGTCCAGGAAGCCACGTTGACTATCTCCACTGCAATGCAAATAGGGCTGGCCAGGGAGACACGAAAGCTGATGTGCTTCTTCAGCCAGCACAACAGGATCAGTGGATGTTGCTTTTGGTTACCAAGGGCTGGGGACCCCAGCTTGAGGACGCGGATGTTAGTGGGGGGTGAGGGTGGATTCTAGTGCAAGGGCATAGATGTTCGCAGGAGGGCATCCTAACACAAGGACTTGGAGGTGTCAGGATGAGGACTTACTTTCATGTCTTTTGTAGGATCCTAGTCTCATGTACTGTATTGCCAACCCCAAGTGTTCAAAACTTATGAAGCAGACCCCTGCCCTCCAAAAAGAAAATTGCTTTTTGAAATCACTGATATACATATACTTATACATATACTTTTTATTAGGCATCTGGTGTCTGAGGTCTTTGGCTGAACTCAGGGCACGTTTTCTAGTTTTTCTCCACAAACCATGAAGCCTACAATCTTTCTGTTTTTCAAAAAAGGAAGAACAAAAGAAAAAGAAGACTGGGATTCTCTTTGGTTTTTATGCACCAACACACAAACATAATCTAAAGTCAGCATGATCAGAGATGATAGCAGCGTATGAGACATCAGATAGTGAAGTTCCCAGTCCTGGCTTAATTCTAATAATGTGGAGGGAGCTTTTCAGGGGGAAACCCTCCCAAATATCAGGAGGTTTGTGATCAAATCAGAAGAGCTGGCATCATTGATATCTAGTCAGTTTCACAAAATGAGTTAATATTTTCACAGATCACCACCTATGGATGGAATGGCTCTGCACACACCTCCCCCAGGCCACAAGAAAGTGCTGGCAGTGGCATGGAGCTAACAGCAGGAAGCTACTCTAGCCCCACCGCACTGCCAGTGATGGCAGCGAGCACTTGGGTGGGTTTTAAATCACCCAGGGACAGTAGGTGGGACTGGAGGGCACATGAAGCCAGTAGCAACTAAGGAAGACTAATGTTCTGAATAGGAATTTCAATCCAGTTATAGTTTGAAGTAAGCTAAGAAATGGGTTCTTTAATCAGACCATAGGAATTAGGAAATAATAATCATTATAATTAGGAAATGCTTAGTCATTTTATAGGTTTTATTGTACTAAGAAAATTTACAGTCTCCTTTATAGGTTTTATTGTACTAAGAAAATGAACAGTGTCTCCTCAAAGATACATGAAAGGAAGAGATTAGTTACGTTAAACCCTACAACCAAGATTATGAAACAAGTAAACTCATAAGAAAAAATATATGTAAATTATAAGAGTAAATGAATGTCTGAATTCTCACACAGAGGCTGATACTATGGAATCTATCATTTCTCAGCAGCTGTTTATAAAACCAGTGAAAGCTTTTGGAGATGATAAAACAGACGGTCTAATGGTTGAATGACATTTATCTTTCTTAGAAAATGTTTTACTTGTGTGATAGTATAAAGTGGTTATCACTTTAGGCAGAACCAATAAATCAGTTTCAAATATGCTTGCAAGTCAGTAAATCCGTTTTTAAACAAAGTAGACTAATATATTATATGAATTAATTTGGTTTCTAATGGATTTTTCTTTTAAAATATGACAAATAATACTTAAACCGAGTAAATACAGTCTCAATGACTGAATACAACACATCCATATAGGGATACGTTTTATATGCATGTACTGTATTTAATTAATAAGCATACATAATTATATATAGAATGTAAAATTGGACTTAGACTTCTTTGTACTCTGATCTGTTTTGGAAAAAAATAAATTTGTGGCAATGGACATTGCCCATGAACATTTTTTTCCCAAAAGAACAAAATGGAATTCTGAGAGATGCTGCTTTTATAATCTGTCTATTATGTATGTAAGGGGTGGCCAACCTGTGGCTCTGGAGCTGTATGCGTCTCTTCAGAATTTAATATGAATCTCCAGGCATAGTGCTGACTCCAGGGTTGGGACCTGCAGGCACCAACTTTCCAGTGTTCCAGGCCCTGCCCCTAACTCCATCCCTTCCTCCAAGGCCACGCTCATTCCCACCCCCTCCACTGAACCTGCCATTGAGCCTCCTGCACACTGAAACAGCTGATCATAGTTGGTGGGAGGCACATGAAGTGAGGAGGGAGGTCACAGGCAGGCAGGAGGGTCTGGGGGGCTTGGGTGAGGGTTACTAATGAGGGTTTACTGACTTATGACTGCAGCTCTCTAGCAATGTACAGTGGTAAAATTCTGGCTCCTTCTAAGCCTTAGGTTGGCCATTCCTGATATATGCTATCTTTATTTATCAGCAGCAATAATTCTTAATGGCCATTGGCAAAATATTCATCATGTCTCAGGGTCAGGCCCTTACCTTCAAAAGTTTATAGATTACTTCAATAAGGTTAGGCTTCTGTGTTTTGTAGTAAGAACCCAAAGGAACTCAAGTATTTAAGACCATTACATCATTAGGTTGTTTTAACAGAGAAAAACATGGGACCTAAATGTATGCATTTTCACAAAAGATTAGTTATTTTGGGTGCTTTTGCTTTTTTATGTTCACAAAAGCAAATGATATAATATATTAGTTTCAAAGGTGCCACAGAATTGTTCATTTACTTATGTTCATCTTTTTGCCCTCCATGCACGTTCCAAGGTAAAAAGCAGTATATCCATATCAATCTTATAGTGTTATTTTTAGCTCTAGTAAGCATAAAAATCACCCATCAGACAAGAGAAAAGCATAAGTCATAAGATTAGGTTAGAGGCTAACAATCAAAAAGTTCAGAGAGGTATGCTAATCCTTAGGGGTAAGTCCACACAGCAGCATGTACACTGACGTGATTCCGAAATATCATATTGTGCATCTACACTACAAGCCTTTATTTTGAAATAATGTCGAGCTGGAGGACTTCTTACTCTGACTCCTGTGACCCTCATTTTACGAGGAGTAAGGGAAGTCAAAGAAAGAGCGTTCTTCCTTTGACTTTCTGCGGTGTAGACAGTGCTTAAAACCAAGTTAAGCTATTTCGACTTAAGCTACGCAATTGACATAGCTGAAGTTGCGTAGCTTAATTTGACTGTAGCCCTACTATGTAGTCATGCCCTAAATGTTCAGTAGGCCATTAAGGTACAACATATTTTACCAAGTGAAGATCGCCACTTGCACCACGACATGCTGCCATACTTCAGCTCTGCAGAAGCACTCTAGTTGAAGTTCTCTTTCTTGGTCAGGAGTCCTCAGTTTTGGAATTTGCTTCTCCCCTTTGGTCCGGCCAGAGCCCAAAATTGTTAATCTTCTAGGCATGCCATAGTGTCCATCTTTTTCCTTGCTGCTTGGAGGGTGTGGGTAGAGGTAGACATATTTATAGGTGATAATTTGCTAATATTCATATGATATTTAATTTATTAATGTTTAATTTTAATTTACCAAATTTACTGAATGGGAACTTATTATAATAGTGTAAGAAATCAAATAAATAGAATATACATGTCTCAAGTTTTGTGAATGATTTCTGGCAAACTGTAACTTGTGCAATTTAGTGTACGTTCCAAAATATGCAAATATATAAAGTTCTAAAGCAAACCTTAAGAATGTGTGTTGGCATTGTCAACATGTATATAACTTTCTGATTGTACTCCTTTAGTGATTCGTGTCAGTCAAATTTTCATCAATAACATTTTGTTGGTAATAAAAAGCCATGTCACTGCAAATTCAGATGAAACATCAATGAAAGAAATGAAGAAGAAACAATCTTATAGGATCAACTATATAAAGCTTACATATTTATTCCAGTTCAGTGTAAGCCCTCCTCTATAAATCCACTGACGTCACTGGGGCTAGTTCTGAGAGGAATTTAGAATCTGGCTCCTACATGACGTATGTCTATGGTTATTCTTCAGGTTGATTCATAAGCAGAGATACGTATAGTCTATTATAATTGGCTGCCAGGGAACAAGACAGTAGAGAGGTAGGAAAGCAGGTGATTATTAAAAAAATAGAAAAGAAAAAAGAACTCACTGTATTATAGCAACTGATTTCTTTAAGTGTGGTGTTCTTTTGTTTTTTTTCAGGTGCAATTGAAAACAAGCATTTCAAGTCAATATGTAATTCGTACCCAGCCAACAAACACCTGCCTTTCTACACTTGAATGTGCAGCTATTGCTCTTGCCATTATGGAAAAAAATGATGGCATTCAGGAGGTATGTAATTAATATTAAATAACTGACTTTATTAATATAACAGCAGTATGAGCGCCACCTTAGTTAAATAATAGTACCATATTTCTTTTGAACACCTCACATATTCTTTATCTCAAGACCTGAATGCAACCATGAGATATTGGTGGTTCACCTGGGAGACCTAGCAGGAGTAAGCAAGCAGCTGTCTGGTGGTTGTGTTCTGTTCCTTCCTTGCAGACCATATCTAGGTTGTACTAACAGACACTTGAAACCTACTCCTGCAGCTCTGTAATCTGGACTTCACCAAACCTTTATTCTTTCCCTCATCTTATACCACATCCCTGTCAAACACTACAGTCTTGAATGCTAATAGTTTGTTCATGATACTTACCTTCTTTGTACTGAATACTAACTATGCTGTTATACAGCTACCCCCATAACTGCATTTGATCAGCTCCTTTGTGAAGAGGAATTGGTTAAAGATAAAGTTGGGAAGATATCTGGAAGGAAGTGGTGGGCAGAGGTTGTGTTGGGGTCCCCATAGCTGTCTGGCTGGGGCAGGCAGTAGTCCTAGGCAGCAATCAGGTGGCAACGCTTGGGCAGCCAAAGCAAGTAGTGTATGGCCCTGAAGCCCCCTGTTTAGTCTGCAAAGCTATCTAGTAATCCAAGAAATTAGCCTGTAGTCCCTGGGCAGGGCAGAATAGGAGTCTGTAGTCCTGTAGACTCTTGCCTGATCTTTAAAAAAAAAAAAAAAAAAAAAAAAAGTCCCCTCCCCCAAAACAAACAAACCCCTGGGTAACTAGCTATCTTGAGCAGGGTGAAGCAGCAAGCAGACTTTAGTCCCCTAGGTGGTGCAGAGTAGGAGTCTAAAAGCCTTACTTCCCTCTGGGCTAGGAGAGAGTTCAGATAGCCTTCTCAGCTGGTGTCAGTTTTACTTCCCTGGCAGCATCTGCAGGCAGTGAGTTGTCTGGCAGGTATTCCAGGTTCCCAGGTTCTGTCACCAGGAGGAGGCCACATGCTCCCTTCCTCTTCCCCTTGACTGACCTCGGCTCCTCCCTTTTACATGAGTTCTTCACTTGGAATATGTTAAGCAGAGAAGGGGCATGGTGGTAAATACCCACAGTGACGGCTTGACTGAACACAAGCTTTATTATTTACTCCTGAGGGAATGCTCTGCCAAAAATAATTAAATTAAATTAAATTAAATTCTACGCTTAAAAATATAAAAATTAAACACACCGTATTTTCTAATTCTGCAAATGTTATCTGCCAATAAATAAATGTGGCTTCAGCATGGTAGTGGGGAGCACAGGCCACTGGCTGCCTTGAGGTGGGAGATCACCCTGAAGCTCCCACTTCATACAGGGACTTAGCAGTGAGGCTGCACTGGATCCTAACATGATGCAGGTGCTGATCCTGACACAGAAACACCCCAAGGCCTTGCCTCTCTGCACCAGACCATTAGGCATGGGTGAGCAGCTACGAGCAAGGTATGAGCAAGATCCAAGTGTGGAGGGACTTCGTGTAGCAGGATCCATGTATGGGGTGAGAAATGCCAGTGGCCCAGTGAGAAATCTGGGTGCACGGGCTTATTGATGGGTTCTGGGTACAAGAGCAATGGGACTCTGCAAGGGATCCAGGTGAAGATAGTTGTGGCTCAGCAAGGAGGGGGGATCTGGGTGTGAGGAGATGGAACCTGGTGGGGGGGGTCTGAGTGTGGGAGAGGCTCAGTGGGGTTGTCTGAGTGCTTGTGGATTGGGTTTTGATGGGGTAGGGCTCCAGGTGGGGGTCTGTGTGGGGGGGCTCATCAGAGGGGACCAGGTTTAGAGGGGTACCAGTGCTGGGATTAACCATTAGGCTAATAAAGTATATAGCCGAACCCCTTCCTATTCTTTAGGCCCTTACTTGTCAGGCAGGGACACGGCAGGAGCCAGGTGAGGAAGGGAGAGTAAGCTTGCTCACATAACCCTGCTGGAGCACTCCTGCCTAGGAAAGGTAAAGCAGCCCCCTGTGTTTTAAAAAGACTTCTGGTTAACATTGGTGACCAGACACTAAAAATTTAGTTACCATGCCAAATGGGGTGTAATTTGAACAGGCATTGTGCTCCCCTGCCATCTCCCCTCAGTTCTGATGTCTCTTCAGCTCTGCTTAGCTGTCAGGAAGGGAGACGGCTCTCTTGCTGTGCCTGTGTCCCTCTCCTCATTCAGCTGAGCAGCTCTGTACTTGCAGAAATAAGTGGAGGGCAGTGGCATGTAACCTTGTGTGCCTCCCATGCCATATCTCTGCCCATCCCAAAAGCCGCACCCATGACTCCTACCCTCTCTGGTGTCCCTGCCATTTTCTGCAGGCACAGAATCCTCCAGGAATAAGTATTATAATCACAGCCTTTATGAACCTAACCTCCCTCCCATCTTTTTTTCTCTCTGTGTTCATTCTCTGATTCCCACTTTTCTTCTGTTATCTTCTGGTTTGTATACCATACCCGTCCTGGTATCTTCTCTAAATTCAAACCAACTGTCCTCACTCTCTTTTCTCTCAATCCCTTCTGCCTTTTTTTGTCTTGGCCTCTCCTCATTCATCTTGCACTCCCCTGATGCACTCCTCCTCACTCATTCACACAGAGACAGTCCTCTTGTTCTCATCAACTCCTACTCCTCTCTCTCCTCTGCATTCCCCTTACATTCCCTTTGTCATTTCTCATCCCATACTTCTGCTTCTCAATCTTATTTTTCCTATTTCTTTTTTGAAAAAAGATGAGAATAATACATTTAGATCTGTCTTTCCATCACTTGCATGTATATCCACTTATAAAGGCACTGAGAGGCCTCTGTTTTGAGTATAAAACAAATGCCAAAAATAGATAAGAGTTCAGAATTTTGCTCCAAATTATGAAATAGAAAATGTATTGCATTTTTAAATATAGAGTGACAATCAGAACATGCATGTGTTGGAAACATATGCAGTTTTCCAAACACTTGGCATTC